TTTTTCGTTGTTTACAATTTTTGATGATTTTTTTGTAAAGAAAAAAAAGTATGCATTATTATTTATGAAAATATAATTGAAACTATATTATTACTTAATACAACAAAACAATGACATATTCATTTTTATTGTCAAAATATTTACCAATTGATTTGCATATCCTATTCACATTATCTGTCACTTGGTTTCTAAGGAGATGTCAACATTTTTTTTGTATATTTTTAAAACCTTTGGTACAACAGGCTCAAACCAACAAATGTATATGTACTTGAAATCAAAATATTTGGAATAATTTATTATTTATTTGGGAATTATAGCTCCTAGACTAGGTAAATGTTCTTATGGAGCCAGACTGCTTAGCAATAGCCATCCCATGGTGCATTGCTACAATGTTTATTATTGGACACTTATGATAACAATTTTGATGAAAATAAAATAAATCAAAGCATATTTTTTTTGCAACTAACATACTCTGAAACAAATTTGCATTGAAATAAAAAGATCTAATTCTACAGCTATTTGCATATACAAGACTGTAATGATTGAGCGGTATTAGTTTTTGTTGTCAGGCGCACTGTGCGGGATATCCGTTCATTATTCATTCTTTTTGTGTGATATAAATAATTGAGTCATTAAGATTCTCGTTATTGTCACATAATGTGTCTGCACGTACCATAATTTATACTACATTTTACATTATACCCATTTTCTGTAATTTATATTGAAATGTACATTTCTGAGAGAACAAACAGATCTCATAAGATCTAAGTATTTCACACGATGAGAAAATTACCTGATAATATCTTGCTTGATGTTGTGTATCTGACTGGCCTTCATGGAAAGTTTGATGACCTTGTTTTAAATCACATTACATTCACGCAAATAAGGTTACAATTCATGCGCTGAATCTAAATGAGATGAGAACCAATGGTTGTGTATGTCTACAATTTGTTTTAGTACAGCCATTAAATATTTGCTGTAATGAAATGTAATTCATTAGTGAGGAGTTCTGGTGCTGTTCATACCATGGAATGCTGTTTAATTTAATAATATTTGTAATTAATTTATTGGATTTATTTCATGATTATTGAATTACTTGGAATAATTCTGACGCTTCCTTGAGGATTTGATCTCAAATTTGTCCTTTTTTGTTGTACATCCCAGTATGCTTAATAAATAAATAAATTAATTAATTAATGGTTTCATTAATTAATGGTTTCTTCAACACCATACTTTATTTTGTATGGTTTTCACATAATCTAATTTGGTTTCATTGTGACATAATTTGCCTATTTTATAGTAGCATAATTTGCATAGTAATTCATTTTTTTAATCAAACGAATCTAGAAAATAATACTAAAAACTATTTGTTTTAAAATGTAATCACATACAACTTTGAAAACAAGTATTTTTTGTTAAAATTATGGTACTATTGTTATTTTTTCTGTATATTTACAATATTAGATTTTGTATTCTTGAAATAGGT